TCCTCTCCTCTCCTCTCCTCTCCTCTCCTCCGTTTTGGGACACTCTATCCTGTGCTAATGTACACTGCATTCTGTTTCACCAGTACAGTGGGAGTCATCAAAAACTGCAAAGAAACAGGCCACATTTCTCCCCTAGCCCAGCACTTTTGCGTGTCTGCAAGTGTGCATGTGTGTATGTATGTGTGTGTGTATGTGTGTGCCTGATGAGAAGAACTGCTCAGCAATATTTAGCGTTACTGCGACAGAACAGCTTTAGGACGGAACAGAGACTCACCTTCAGGAAAGACGAAATAAGAGGCAAAAAGAGACAGAGAGTGGGAAAGAGGCAGAAATGTGATTTTTGACACTTGAAATATTTTGTTTTAAGTTTTAAGTGAAGAAAAAAAAAACCACCCAAACCACATGATAACAATAAAATTATAACACAAATAATAAGTTAAATGAAATGCTGATACACTAAGTGATACTGAAAGATGCTTAAATACTGCAGATGTGTGGTCACACAGGGGTGAGATATGATAATGAGAGATACATCTGAAAAAATTAGGTCTGTTTATACAATGATGAAAAACAAGTGGACCTGCACATGCTGCCTGCCTGTCGCATGGCTGCCTGTACACCCACCTACATCCACCTACACACATCCTCACTCAAAATGTACACAGAGCAGATGGGCAGCGTCTCTGTGTTTGGTGTACAACACAGGTGTCGTCCTTTGACGTGGCACCGCGGCAATTAAAATGCACCGGACATCTATCACGACTAACCTCAGGCCTGACACACACACACACGCACGCACGCACGCACGCGCACACACACACACACACACACACACACACACACGTTAAGCTAGTTTTTTTTTCTTTGCTCAAGATTCAAATTAAAGGATTTGCTTTAACAGGGTTTACAGTGTGCACACACACAGGAAAACAGGGGAAGATGGAAGAAAATGTTACCTTAACAGTGGATGGATCACTCTTTACGTAACGACAATACTGCCTCATTTTCTATTTTTAGTTTAAAACAAAAATATATAGAAGGTCTTTTTCTCTGGCACTATGAATCATTATCAGTCTTATAATGTAAAACAAACATCATGACATGATTACAACAGGAGTCAGTGCACCCCTGAGCAAGATTTTTTACATGTTACGTGATTCAAAGTCGTATCGGCTCCAAATACATGTCTAATTTCAAAATTGAAGAGCACGGTTTTCCTTTAAAGTAAAAAATATTTCATTCTCTTTAAAAAATGCTTTAGGAAAACTATATTGTTAAACAAGTGGAAACCCAACGCAGTGAAACTAACTACACCTGTGATTAAAAAAACATCAGTGAAACAAAAAGGAGATGATGGTGTCTGTATCTCTGCACTGTGCTACTTCATCGAAGAGAATTAGCAGAGGAATTGAAAACTCCAACCGCAAGACTTCACAAAAATGGAAAAAGGATACAAGAAGATCAATGAGCCTCTAAAACCCCTCCCCAAAAATCAGTGGTGCTCAGCTCCAGCAACAATCAGGAGGTATACAAGTAGCTATAGCGCCAGTGGCTGTCCATGGACTACTGCACAGTCCGGCTCTTTGCACAACCGTTATCAGTGGAAGTCAGAGTCTCTGTGACAGCTCGGACAGTGTGAAGGACATTGCATAATGTCAGCCTCTGTGGATGCTGGTGGAGAAAAATACCTAAAACAAATGCTTTGGGTGCTCTTTGACAGAAACTACAAGGTTAAACTTTACTAAAACAGTAATGCAGTCACAGGAAGGAGGCAAGGGAGCTCCCCTTAAATTATGAGGAGTGTAATCACTTCTATTTCTACTGCAATAATAAATAAGACACACGAAGGTACACGTTTTACACCATTCAAACATTTCAAACAGTAAGTACACACACATATATATATTCCTCACAAATTAAAAACCTCCCTAAAAATAAAGTATGGCGCTGTTAGCGAAGTGTGAGGATGACAGCAGACAGAGAACACCCAGAGCTTTCCACTTTTGACTACAGTTCACACTCATGTACTTTGCAGGGAAATATCTTTAGAAATTACTCTCACGTCCTGGGTCTGATACAGACACAATGAGTGACGCCTAGCATGCTTTGGCATTTGAATTAAGAGTAAAACTAATTTTCAATATGCTGAATGTCAACTAATACTTAATCTAAACACAGGAAGCACTTTAAACCTTTATGCATGAGTCTGAAGTGTGCCTGTGTGTACTAAGACCTGTTTCAGTGCATCGGATGTGTGTGTGTGTGTCTTATTAGGCCATATGTGTTTGTCAGCGTGTGTATGTGTGTGGACCCACATATCCACTAGTGATGATGAAACACATTGTTAATGTTGTGGGTTATTTTAGTCGACTGACAGTTGTTGTAGAGGGTGTTGTGTGTTGTGTGTTCATGTGTGAGGCCAGTTGTGTGTGTATGTGTGTATGTGTGTGAGTTTGTGTGTTTAATTGGACCTCCCTGAGCCAGTCTCCAGGTGACAGAACTCATCTGCTCTTTCCCTGATTAAGGACAACAGATGGACACACACACACACAAACACACACACACACACACACAATCCACAGAATGCTTTCACAGTCATGATTTATCATCAAAAAGTACTGAACACACAGACTGCACTGGTCACATGGGCTGTAATCAATATAAGGTGCACATACATACAAGTCACACCAAACCACCTTGAACTTCTGCACACTTATTTTTGCTCACATGACTCCTCCGGTCCTTAGATATCCATCCACTGAGCTCAAACAAGCTCTTATCATCACTGCAAACAAAGAAAATAAACCCCTCCTTCTCCAAATCTGCCTCTCTAACTTGACATCCGTGTGCTGTCCTTCTCCATCTGTCTGTCTGACAGAGATTATGAGTTAATTTACTTCAAAAGAAAGATTGAAGATTAAAAAAAGTCTTAGTCAAGGATGATCCTCATAGCTAAAAAATAAATAAATATCTGACAAAAATCCCTTTTGTTATGTTTCTGTCATTAGACATAAATAGTCTAAATCTTAAATATTTATCTGGCAAATAATTTTTCCTCACATGTTGATATTCCTCAAATAAAATAGTTTTGGAGCTGTACTTGAGAACAGTACTATTAATCTAATAATTACAATGCGATAATGCAATATTTTTCTCTGAATGAGAAAGAGATGATTGAACACACATTAAAGCATTTATTAAGAAAGTGATGTGTTTATTTAAATTTTAATTAATACCTTTGAAGCTAAATGTTTTTAGCCTCAAATTTCCCACAGATTTCCCACCAATAACCTCTAACACCAGTTATTAAAAGGACAAACTGATCTTTAAGTGTGTTCTCTCTGGATCTGACTTATCCAATGAGGTCCCGCTAACCTGTAACAGATGTTTATCAACTTTCCAGCTGTTCAAAAACGTAAAGCAACACTTTACCTTTAATCTTAGACATTTGCACTTGCATTTAGGCCCAAAGCAACACAGCAGTGTGTAATCATTGCGTCTGCCCATGCAAAGCCACATTTTAGATCATGCATGACACTCAAATTTAAAACACTGGACTACCTAATTGAACTGATGACTTTCCCCTCTTCCACTTCACAGTGAAATAACCTGAATTAATCTCATACTCATGGAACATGAAAAGTCTGAATACATGTGATTCATTCATCTTAAAAGATCGCTGTTGTTATTACATAATATCGACATCTTGCAGGAAAAGTTTTCAGTGAACCCGGTGTGACCCTGGAGCTGACAGTACTCTACCTTCAGCCACTGTAAAACACTCCATTTGGTCTGCAACCATTTGCCTTCGGGGCGACATTAATGATAATTAGTAGGCTCTCAGCATGCTAGTTAATATTCCGCCGTAAAATCCATGTGATGGGAAAGGAAAGAGAGAGAGAGAAAGAAAAGATACAATATGCTCAAATGTAGGGGGAGACCCCCAAAAAACGAAAGTACATGGACTGCTAAGAATCGTGCACAATGGGACAATATTTAAAATTCGTGTTACACGCTGCGATAGCGCAATCAAATCGATGAGCTTAAAAAACCATAACAATAATTTTCAGTCTTATCTCCTCAAAACATGGCGTCTCTCTCTCTCTCTCTCTTTCAAACACACACACACACACACACACACACACACACACACACACACACACACACACACACACACACACG